AGAAAATTGATCTTGAAACATTTCAATATCATCATTTTCAAGATCAAATATTGATACATAAGCACGTTCATCATTTGTCATACGTTCATTTGGATCATAATATACAACACGTGAACCACTTAATATACATAAAAAATCAGCTAAATGAAAAAATGAAGATGCGGTTTTTGATATTGTCGATGTTGATTCATGAATTCCAAAAACATCTTCCCATTGTTGTTCAGTTAATTGTGCATCATATGTTATACATAATGCAACACCTTGATAAGAAGAAAATTCATCATTTATCAGTGTTTGAGTATCATAACAACGATCAACAAGATATCCATGAATAGCTGATGCACCTAATGATTGACCATAAGTTAAAAATGTTGATATAAGATCACATGATGGTGGAGCGGATGATAATAGAGCACGAATTATATCACGTAATTGAAAGACTGGCGACGATATAATACGCATTTTTGCATACTGTATATTAGGTGGTGAATCGTCTCCGACGGTTAGAGAGTTTGATTGATTAGGATTTGAATTAGCAACAGGTGATTCTAAATTATAGAAAAATAAATTTTTTATTTTATTTAAAATTATGTTGATCATGTCTTTTTATAGAGAGAGAATAAATAAGGTTACTCATGTAAAAGAATCTGATTTCGACAATCTAAATATTGTTATTTTTTTCAAGAGCAAAAAAATAAAAGTGAATAATACATTTTCGTCTTTGTTGTTCTTATCAAACGATAATAAATAGATCGTTCGTTATTTTTCTGACGCATACGTGTATATATATATGAAGTGCAAAATATAATCGACTACCAACGAACAGCTTACAATTGGATAAACGAACATCGATAGAAATAAAACAAAAAAAAAAGGTGATTGAAGAGTTCTTCTTGTTGACTTCTCTTATTCTTTATCCTATGTGAATAAAAGTTGAATGAGAATACTTCGTAAGATTTTTCTTTTTTTTTTTTGTTGTTTCGTTAGTTCGATGAAAAGTAATCGGATACTCTTCAGGCTTTTGTTCTTTCTCTTCTGCTTTTTTTTCTTCTTCTTTCGAAAAAGAAGAACCTATGAATGACCACTAGCACTACTATCACCACTATAGGAGATCGTCGATAATAGTCTATCGTTTGCGCAACTTACCTAAGTTAAACTTATCGAGATTCATGTTCATCAATAACAACAACAACAACTTCGGTCAAGACAGCCACCTGCTTTTATCAAAACTAATTGTTTTGTTCTTGCCAAGAAACAGAAGAAGATATGAGCACCCTTGCTGTATATGTGTACGCACACACACATATATACATATACATATATATATATGTATATATATCTATATATATATATATTTGATGGACGGTGAAGAATGAATGAAGGGCGATTGGAGGAAGAGAGACAAGGAGACAATATATACGACCGAAAGAAATATGTCGACCTTATCATATACACACCTACAGTAACAATGATAGAGAATTTTAGTGATGTAGTCAACTTCGAGACTTGCGTATACGTGAGGTCTTTTCAATTTACCTATCGAAAACAAATTATGGCACAGACGTACACCTTATACGGTACCTAGTGTAT